TGCACTGAACAGGAGATCACCAACCCCCCCCCCCCCCCCCAAATCTTTTTCTACTCTGCAATTCTATATTTCACTTCATAATCTGAACTAACCCTGTGCCAAATTTTGCCTTGCACTTTCTTCCCCAGTGAAAAAGACTTCTGTTTTCTACCCTTATCTGGATGTTTGAAGATGTATTTTCCCTCTCTTTAGGTGGAGTTGCACAGCATATTGCTGTTGAAGGGGTTAGAAAATGATCCTGCTGGTTACTTTCTATTCCTCATTTTTCCTTCGCTCTAAAGCCTCCTTTACCATTCTCACTTCTAAGCTGAAAACCCCATGAAAGAAGTTCCTTCCTGATATCTTTCCTTGGGACTTAACTGAAGTGTGAGAAACCAGGGAGGCTGCAGACTGCTGGAATGGTGACTGTATAATTAAAAAAAAAAAAAAGAGTAGCATTCACACACACTTCTTGGCCATCTGGTAACTAAATAAGTATAAGAACACCACACTCCACCCATGAGAATTAAATTGAAATTCTTTTTCTCCTTTGGAAAAAAAAAGTGAAAGCAAATTCTCACATTATTTTCTCTCCATTCTATTCACATTGATGAATGTGGGAGAATTGGTGGGTGGGTTTTTTTTCGTCATTATTTAGGGTTTTGATTCCTGGGGAAATGTTATTTGACTGTATACTTGGGCACTTTTTCATGGTATTTCTGTAACTTCTGAGCTTTAAATGCTCATTTACCCATTATTGTCCCCACTTTGCCCAGATTCCCATGAACCCACTTCTTTCTGGCACCCTATTTATGACAGCCACACCTCTCTGGAAGCAAAACATAAGCTCATTAAGTGCCTCTTCCGTCAGCTTCTTCAAAATTCACATTATGGAAGAGGCAAAATGTCATTCACTTGTATTTAAATGCAAATAATTCACATCTCCCAAACTATTAGTTGAATTGAAATGTAATTGTTCTTCATGTCCTAATTTTGCAAAGACGTTTGATCAAACCATGCGTGCAAAGTTGTAGGTGTTCTGGCAACCACTGTTATCAAAAGCACCAATTAGATGGGAAAAGTGGAAGGTAGAGGAAAGGGCACAGACACGTAGAGACAATATTAAACATTGTCACGTGGATGCAGAATGAGATCGGAATCGTGTTGTGCTTGAAATAATGGTGACAGTGTAGAAAGCAAGAAAGTCTAATCTATTCCTGATCCAGAAAACGGAAGACCACATGTCTGAGAGACATCGTTCTGTTATCTTTATTGAAGGGCACTCAGTGAATGTTTATTTCTTGTAGGCTACATCCGTAATACAAGCAGCATTTCCCCACGGGGCTACTCCTCCAGCTCAACCCCTCAGCAGTCTAATTACAGCACCCCCAGTAACAGCATGAACGGCTACAGCAACGTCCCCATGTCCAACCTGGCCGTTCCAAGTTCACCTGGATTCATTAACGGTTCTCCCACAGGATCTCCCTATGGCTGTGAGTAGCTTCCTTCTCTTCTCTTCCTCTGATTCCACATAACCTTTGGGTTGACTTAAGCTAAGAGGCAGTCTGCCAGAAAATGTTTATTTCCTTTCTTTGGGTCATCTGCCAGAAGGTTCCTCAACCTTGTAATCAGACAATTAAGCCGAAACTTCTGCAGAGCAAGCCTGCAAGAACACACAGTTGCTCTTGTCTACTGCTTCTCATTATCTGCCCCAAATGTACTGTGATGGCTCTGTCTCTCTGGAACATCAGCTTTTGGTATCCTTTAGCACCAGCTGCTGGGAATCTAATATCCCATCAGAATTCATAGCTTATGTCTGCACTTCTCTCCTTTTTAAGCAATGCTCTGATCCAAAAAGCCAGGAGTGGCCAACAAGCAGCTCTAAGCCCTGTGTTGCCCAGAAGTTGATTTCAGACCTTTAACCGTTTTTGGACTAGTGTGTGGGGTGGGAAGGAGAGGACTGAGAGCATGAGAAGAACATTCCCAGAAGAGAAAGAAAAGGGGTATCAGAAGGACAGGAAATGCGTAGTCACTGCTTGGTTAAGCCCTACCCCCATTATCATGAATATCCTTTAGCAGTTGCTCCTAAATGAATGTCTCCTTTAATGCAAAAGGAATTACTGTGCAATTAGTAGATTAGATTGGTCGGATGTTGTTATTTTCATGTCCACAATGCCCTGAGCTTAGTAGTGGTGGCCCCTTCAAAGTAAAGCTGTCAGACTTCCTGAACTTCTCAGGAAGCCACAGTGCCAAGAGACATCATCATTAGAGAAGAAAACTCATCGAAAGTGCTTTCTCCAAAGTCCAGGTGCCTCAAAAACTTTTCTCTACCATGGACTCACTCTTTTTATGCATTATTTCATTTCTCTTCCTCCTTTCCTGTCACCCTCCTATTTTATATGCATAACAGTTTTATTAGCTGAATTTACTGCAGTTCTCTAGCCTGCAACCTGCCCAGCTCTGTTTTAGACAGGTCTAGCAGCTTATGGAAACTTAGCCACTTTGTATGACAACTGGGCCAAGCCACAAAAGCACAGATCTGCAAAAATCAGAATATAGGAAAGTATATTCCTATAACCAGTATAGGAAAGATAAATTCCCCCCACTTTTTTTTTTTTTAAAGTCTTTTCCTTGCTGATGTGTATGTTTTAAGGATAGTCCAAAATTACTCCCATTTATTCTATGAAAAGCACTTCTTCCCTCTTTTAAGTTTTTACTGAAATTTTCAGAGAGGGCTCAGAGGCAAATGAATTTTATATTCCTTTTTGTTTCCTTGAAGACACTAGAGTAGAATCGGGTAAAAAGGACCCATGCCTTGAGTTTCTTGTGAACACTGCTGAGAAGTTATGGGTTGGGGAATGGGGGAGAAACCTCATGGTTCATGTCTATGTCATTGAGTCTGGAAGAATGATTAAAACGCTTTATGCTTTTCCTACAAGAATGCTATTGTCTAACACCAGGTCTTATTAAAATAATGACAGGAACACCAATAAAGAGACTACAGCTAATGATTTTAGACTTTACTACCACTATTAATACTACTACAAGTAAACAACAACAACAACATATTATCTGAGTGTGTTTTTGGCCCTTAGTTGTCTCATGGTACCATGTTATATGTTGCCAGCCCTTCCACATAAACCAAGTCAGGAAACAAATACCATAAGAAATACTAGGACTTACTTTATTAATCTACGCTATAATAACAGAATCTTGAAAGTGTTTCTCATTCCTCCATCTCATATGAAAGAGAGTCAGGGTGAAGTTCCTTTCCCATGCCTCCCTGTTTTCCTAGGCTTCGTTTGTATTTTCTCAAAGTTGCCACATGTCTTCTTCAACCTTGTACCCCCAAGGTTTATTTTATTGTTACCTGCTCAGAATGCATCAAAACTGGGCACAATATAAATATTGGAGGAGGAGGAGGAGGAGGAGG